AGGTTTAAACCAAGAATGAACCAGGACTAAACCAGGACTAAACCAGGACTGAATCAGAACTGAATCAGAACTGAATCAGGACTGAACCAGGACTGAACTACGACTGAACCAGGACTAAACCAGGACTAAACCAGGACGGGACCAGGACGGGACCAGGACGGGACCAGGATTGAACTACGACTGAACCAGGTCTAAACCAGGACTAAACCAGGACTAAAACCAGGTCTAAACCAGGACTAAACCAGGACTAAACCAGGACTAAACCAGGACGGGACCAGGATTGAACTACGACTGAATCAGGTCTAAACCAGGACTCAACCAGGACTAAAACCAGGTCTAAACCAGGACTAAACCAGAGCTGAACCAAGAATAAACCAGGACTGAACCAGGACTCATCCCGGACTAAACCCGGACTAAACCAGGACTGAACCAGTAGTTTAGATCTGTATACATTTATACAAATCTAAACCACAGGACGAACAGTTTTTATGCAGAACAACAGAGATTTTGTTGTTTGTGGAGGAAATTATGATCGTCTACTTCGAAAAACGCGGCTTTGATTTTTGATTGCCGCTTTTGATTTTCGATTCACCTCGCATCTTTAGTTTAGACGTCGTCGCTCTACGTTCGGTCGTGATTATTGGACCTTTTTTAAAACAGCAAGAGCCCGGGCTGCGTTTCCTCTTACTCAACTTTTCTATCAGACTTCTTTGCTTCAGTTGGTTGGTGCAGAGCGAGTGTGTGTGTGTGTGTGTGTGTGTGTGTGTGCGTGTGTGTGCGTGTGTGTGTGTGTGTGTGTGTGTGTGCGTTCATACCGGCTCTACACTCTCGGTTCTTTGTGTGTGTGGGAAAGTCTCTCCTCTCAGCTGGACTCTGACTCCGTGTGATTGTGGAGCACTAGAGCAGCAGGTCTGAGCCGAACACTCGCTGGAACTTTTAAAAGGCTAAAGTCCCGATTCTTCAAAAGTGCATTGTGTAACTTTTCTGGTGGAGGGTCTGTGACTTTCTTGTTTCCAAGGATACGTCATTGCTCCGCCTGGAATGTTCCACAGTGTGAGATTAAACAACTCCAGTTTACATTTATTCAACTAGAGGTGGTTTTATAGCGCAAAAATACCTCTCAGTGTCGGGAAGGTGACTTTTAAAATGTATTCCCCTACAGATTACAGATTACATACCCCAAAATGTAGTTTGTAACATAATCCATTAAATTACTTAAAGTGAGTAATGTAATCTGAATACTTTGGATTACTTGATATTGTCCTGCTTTTTAGAACTACATGAATGTAACGACCAGATCCTGAAAAATTCATGTTTGTTCTCTTCAAATTGTCTGTTGAGCCCAAGTCTCCATGAACAGACTTTTTTATTTTCTGTAGAGAAGCAAAGACCTGGAAATCTGAACATAAAATGTCTTGTTTTATCTGCTAAAAGAGAATAAAAAAGCCCAATCTTTCCATAACCAGATTAAAAATATTGTTGATATAGAAATTATTTTTATCTGAGATCACTGCTGCTTTAAATTATGTCCACCTGTTAGTGTCATATTGTTTATTTAAAAAAATAATAAATCACTTTCAGTACAAACATAAAGGCGCCAGCCCAGTAAAAATCATTAGTATTTGATGTTTTTTACTCAAAATGATGCAGAATCAGATTATTAACGTTAACAAGACATTTACGTGGCTCTTACTGCGCGTGTTCTGTTTGAGTGAAATTACAGAAATAAAATAAAACTAGAAAAGCACTCAGAGAGCGCAGACCTCCGCCAAGGACTACCCCCATTTTTTATATAAATTGCGATAAAATCAGTCTTCTGGATCAGATCCGGATCAGCCTTTGGAACATGAAAGAGGATCCCATTGTCCATCCCTGAGTCAAATTTCATGTTGTTTGGTCAATAATTAACTGAGATATTGAGAAACAAAATTTTTAGCCCCATTTACCACAATGTTAACTAAAATTTCAAAGTGATCCAGAATCCAGGATTTCTTCCGGATCAGCCCCAAAATGAAAGCAGTCCTTTTCACATTTCCAACAAATCCTGAAAATTTCATCAAAATTGGTCCATAACTTTTTGAGTTATGTTGCTAACAGACAAACAGACAAACAAACAAACAAACAAACAGACAAACAAAGAAACAAACAAACAGACAAACAAACAGACAAATGCTGGCAAAAACATAACCTCCTTGGCGGAGGTAATAACAACATTTTTAAAAAGGGATATAGCCCAAAATATTTATTTCAACAAAGTAACTGTAATCAATTACAGTTACTCATAATTTGTACTCTGATTACATAACGTACATGTAATCTGTTACTCCCCAACACTGTGTTTATTTGATGATGGTCTGAACAGAAGACGCAAAAAGTGGCGTCGCGTCTTCACTTTTTACTCCGTGTTTAGACGAGTGTTTCTGCCGACGGTGACGCAAAAGTGTGTGGAATTCGATTGTGTGTTTGTATTTAAAGCAACAAGTGCATCTTTTTTACATAGAGAAGTTTTTACGCCACAAATTTTCATCAGCTCCTCCTTCCACAAAGTTGTTCCACCATCGACTGGTTCTCCAGTAAAAAACATACGTTTTTTACTTGAATTCTAACGTAACGTTATCACCACATGTAACGTCATGTGGTGATACAGGAAGTGCTCCACTTTGGGGTTTTTTCAGCCCTGGAAATGTCAAACTCCACTGAACTAAAGGTAAAAAAGGAGCTGTTCAGTAGAAAACTACAGCTTCATGACATCACAAGGTGGAACAGAGCATTTTGAGCTTTGGAAATGTAGACAGACTCAAACATGTGTGAATGAAACAAAACTCAACTCCAGGTCTGTTTTTGAGGAGGAAACAGCAGAAAATAACAAATATTGAATTGCTGCAATATCAAATAAAACCCCACAGAGTGTTTCTATTCCATTTGCAGGAGGTGATATTCTCTTCTGTCTCTCTGGGGGAGCTGGTTTGTTCAGGTGGTCCCTGCGTCTCTGGGGGTTCTGTAAACTCCTCTGGTTCTGGCTCGGTGTGGGGGTGTGATGGGACGTGGGCGGATGCTGGTGCTGTTATTGTCTCACCTGCGTTGGGGCGTCCGGGGAGCAGCTCTCTGTGGGGCTCTTACATCCACTCGTCCCCCTCCCCCTCCTCCTCCTCCTCCTCTTCCTCCTTCTTCACCGGGTTTTATCTGCCCCTCTGTCTATCGCAGAGTCAGTGAGCCACGGGAGACTGAAGGGACGTCTGCCTCTACCATCTTTAAAGTTGTTTTACCTTGTTTTGCCGTTGTCACGATACTAAAAGACCTTATATAACCATATTTTTCAGACTATAAGTTGCATCGGATTATAAGGAGCATTAAGTAAAACAAACGGACGACACTTGAGACTGATCCTTTAGTCCAGGCGTCCACGATCCATCGGCAGATCGAGGAGTAATTCGCCCGGCGTTGCCTCTCTGTCTTGGTGAATGTGGATTATGAATGTGAATGTGGGCGGATCATTTAAGTTTGTTGTTTTTTTTACTTCCTACGAGGACGACTCAAATATACACTGAGTAATAAAGTGTTTAATTCAGCTTTGAGCACATTTGTTTACGTTTTACCTTACCAGCCATCACCCTGAGTTTGATGATAATAATAGAACTTCTCTCATTAACCCTTCGATATACTGTTAATGCTGTTTAGTGATCAAATTTGCACTATTTTGGTTGTTTCACTGCATTTTGTTTGTATTGCAGTTGCACATTTTTTCCTGCAAAGAGTGTTTTAGTCCCCATTCTGTAATGAGTGTTCCTTAAGTTAGAAGATTGCAAAAATAAAGCTGTCTGGAACTATAAATATGATCACTTTTGTTGTTGTTATTTACGTTCATGTTGGGAGATCCTGCTCTTTTCTCGGACCAAGCATGTAGATCTTTGTCTGAAAAAGGTTGGTGACCACTGCTCTAGACAATTAGAAAATGACAATAGAATTTCAACATTACGTAGAACATTTTCATGGAGAAAAGCACTGGACGGACAAAAGCTCCACAATGCAGCTTTATAATTAAAGGTTGTATAGAGGATTTTTTAAAGGGAAGAGAAATACAGCGACAGTCCTTGTGCGCGTTCAGAATTACTGTTGAAGTTTCCTGTCTAGAAGTAATTCAGCGACCGACGCGTCTGTTTTTAGACCCTTCATCTGCTTCAGTCGCGCCATCGCTGGACGAGATCTCCAAGAATCACCTCAGTTTGACTTTGCTACTTTTCCACTTCTCTTCTTCTTTCAGCGACCTCAAAAACTGACTTTCTTTTGCGGTGAACCGGTCGTGGATTCTCGTCCGCCGTCGCGACAAACTTTGTGCGAAATGCGAGGAAGCGACACTTCGAAAAAGCCTCTAAGAACCGCTGCGTAAACCACGTAATCCCCGACGAGTCAGTTATACTAGGGAGTTTGATTGACAACCTAACAGCCAATAGAAAATGAGGGAGCCTCGTTTTCTATTGGCTGATGTTTATCTGGCCTCACTACGTCCACAGTTGATAGATTTTCGTTCTTTTTTTTTTTTTTTGGTCATCATAATTACAAAGCTGCTGCGTCTCTGTAATGGTATTTTAATCTTTCACTGACAGTTTGAAACTAAAAAAAAATCCTCCATACAACCTTTAAGCACGAATCATCGAATCGCACCAATCTGTTCCCCGCGCAGTCCCCAAAATGTCCAAATCGGTGCTTCTTGTATGATCTACGGTCTCCAGTATCCTCCAGAACCAGCGGAAAGAGCCACAAATTACAGTCCTTGATTTGACAAACGACGAGCCCGTACTCCTCGCTTCCTCCCCTCGTTTCCTTCCCTCGCCTCCTCGCCTCCTCTCCCCTTATCCCCAGCGTGGCGGCCATGTTGTGTTGGCTCAGATTAATTGTGCGTCTGAATGGTGAAAGGAGGATGTTTCCCGCTGTGGGCTCTGCAGTTCTAACCCTTTTGCTAATTTTTTTTCTTTTTCTTTTTTTTCCCCTTCTGCTTCTAGCGCCAAGACGCCAGGATCATCGTCGGGCTCTTCTACGAGACGGAGGCCAGGAAGGTCTTCTGTGAGGTAATTATAGTTAACGTTTTGTAATTTGCTACACAATGAGCTGGATTCAAATGGACGTGTATTTTAAGTGAGTTGGTGCGGCTCTGGGTGAGGTCCGGGCCACTCGAGTTAATCAAATAAGTCGCATTCGATTTGGTATCTTAATTTTACATGGCACGTTCCGGTTATTAGCGTCACTCGGCGGTAATTTGGGGCGACTATAAGAGAGTTGAGTCATATTTCGCGAAGTCGGTTTGAGCAGAGTTACATCAGTGTTGGAGATTTTACGCGCGCAGTGTTTCTCGAGCGAAAAAATTAGGTCCTATGTTACAAAAAAAATGACTCTTATGAGCTTTAGAGTTTCATAATATGGCATTAAACCTTTATATCTTCATGGAGACCGAACCAGACCAAGTTACAGGTCAGATCTGTGGAGAGGCGACAGTCAGAATGTCTGTTTTTGTAAGTATTTTTGAGCTATAAAACCACTTGTAACTGAATAAATGTAAGGTAGAGCTGTTTAATGTTTACATGAGAGCTTTAATTCCGGTTAAAAATATAATAAAATAAAAATAAATTCTGCTTTAAAAAGACCATGTAAACACTTAATTCCTAATGATTATTCAGAATTAAACTTAAATCCGAATTAAGTGGGTGGTTTATTCAGATTTTAAAGTGGAATTTATTCCGCAATCATGTAAACGTTTATTCCGCTTAAAAACTTATTCCGGTCGTTCAGCACATGCACGTTGGATCACACTTCTGATGCGATGACGCACAATGTGGTGAAAAAGTTTGCATCATGTTTGTGTCTCCGAATCCCTGTTTCCCGTTGCCTATGGGCCCAGTCCAGCAGAAGTAAACAACAAGGCCAAAAATTCAAGTTAATGCATCTGATATAAAAATGTATTGAACAGATACATATGTACTCTAGTTTATGAAACTGTTGACCTTTTTTCTGTACCATTTTTGGTTCTAAAGTTCCATACATGTTTTAAACAGACCATGTATGAAACATGGAACAAAAATTATTTTCCCAAATTTCAAAGATCTGAAAATCATGTAAATAAATGGATGTATTTCATCATATCTTGTGTTATTCCATCTTTGAACTGTTGATGAAGGTACATGATTTTTCAAAAAAAATGTATTTAAAATGATAAAAATTTGCTTGGAAGGACTGACATGTTTTATAGAAACAGTTTCCTTTCATTTTTAAGTAATATTAAAATATTTGGAAGAAAAAAGCGACAAATGATGTAAAATCCTGCACCTTCTACTTGTACAATTTTCCCTCCGTTACTTTTCCCTCCGTTACCATGACCTTTCTTAATAAAAAATCTCATGAGTCAAAAAGTAAGAGGTTTTTCAACCTAATCTTGTACCATATGGTAGAAAACTATATGAAGCAAATATTCAAACCAGTTTGTTAAGGATATGTAAGTGAGAACCAAGAGTTATCACTGTTTGGATTTATTGCCCCAAAAGTGCTGCATATTTCATTCCCTTCCGTTACCAACATGAGTTTTTTAATTTTTTTTGTCAACAACTTGAAAGAATATCACAGGTTTAACTTGACCCTGTTGGAGTGTAACTCTTTCCTACATTCTGATACTTTACTTATTTCAATAGTTCCTCTAGTTTCTGAATAAGAGACATTTGAATGTACAAAATCTGCCCCTGTTTCCCTCCGTTACCACTTGACTGGACCCATATGTAATTGTGAAACGTACTGAGTAACACATCGTTAACACCGCGAGCCGTCCTCATCTGAAGTTATCATCATGAACTCATAAAACAGCAGCACGTGGCCGAGAACTTGAATGAATCAATATTGTTACTGTCAGTGTCACAGACCTCTGACCCTCTGACCCTCTGACCCTCTGACCCTCCGACCCTCTGACCCTCTGACCCTCTGACCCTCTGACCCTCTGACCCTCGACCCTGACCCTGACCCTCTGACCCTCCGACCCTGACCCTGACCCTCCGACCCTCTGACCCTCCGACCCTCTGACCCTCTGACCCTCTGACCCTCTGACCCTCTGACCCTCTGACCCTCTGACCCTCTGACCCTCTGACCTCTGACCCTCTGACCCTCTGACCCTTGACCCCCCTGACCCTCTGACCCTCCGACCCTCCGACCCCCCTGACCCTCTGACCCTCCGACCCTCTGACCCTCCGACCCTCTGACCCTCTGACCCTCTGACCCTCGACCCTCCGACCTCCTCTGACCCTGACCCTCCGACCCTCCGACCCTCTGCTCCTCCGACCTCCGACCCCCTGACCCTCTGACCCTCCGACCCTCCGACCCTCCGACCCTCCGACCCTCCGACCCTCCGACCCCCTGACCCTCTGACCCTCCGACCCCTGACCGACCCTGACTGACCCTCTGACCTCTGACCCCCTGACCCCCTGACCCTCTGACCCTCCGACCCTCCGACCCCCTGACCCTCTGACCCTCTGACCCTCCGACCCTCTGACCCTCTGACCCTCTGACCCTCCGACCCTCCGACCCTCTGACCCTCTGACCCTCTGACCCCCTGACCCTCTGACCTCTGACCCTCTGACCCTCTGACCCTCTGACCCTGACCCTCCGACCCTCTGACCCTCTGACCCTCCGACCCTCCTGACCCTCTGACCCTCCGACCCTCTGACCCTCTGACCCTCTGACCCTCCGACCCTCCGACCTCTGACCCTCCGACCCTCTGACCCTCTGACCCTCCGCTCTGTCCGTCTCGCGCAGGTTTACAAGGAGAAGTTGTTCGGGAAGAAGTACGTGTGGTTCCTGATCGGCTGGTACGCAGACAACTGGTTCAAAATCAAAGATCCGGCCATAAACTGCACCGTGGAGCAGATGACCGAGGCCGTGCAGGGTCACGTCACCACGGAGATCGTCATGCTCAACCCGGAGACGGTCAGAGGAGCCTCCAACCTGGTGAGGAGACAAACACAGACCGATACAGACCGATACAGACCAAAACAGACCAACACAGACCAACACAGACCAACACAGACCAAGACAGACCAAGACAGACCAAGACAGACCAACAGACAGACCAAGACAGACCGATACAGACCAGTACAGACCAGTACAGACCAACACAGACCAAACAGACCAAACACAGACCAACACAGACCAAACACAGACCAACACAGACCAGCACAGACCAGCACAGACCAACACAGACCAACACAGACCAAGACAGACCAACACAGACCAACACAGACCAACACAGACCAACACAGACCAAACAGAACAAGCACAGACCAAGACAGACCAAGACAGACCAAAGACAGACCAAGACAGACCAACACAGACCAACACAGACAGACCAAGACGACCAAAGACACAGACCAACACAGACCAAACAGACAAGACCAAGACAGACCAAGACAGACCAACAGACAGACCAACACAGACCAACACAGACCAAGACAGACTAAGACAGACCCAACACAAACCAGCACAGACCAACACAGACCAATACAGACCAAAACAGACCAACACAGACCAAGACAGACTAAGACAAACCAACACAGACCAACACAGACCAAGACAGACTAAGACAGACTAAGACAGACTAAGACAGACCAACACAGACCAACACAGACCTACACAGACCAATACAGACCAATACAGACCAAAACAGACCAAGACAGACCAACACAGACCAAGACAGACTAAGACAGACCAAGACAGACCAAGACAGACCAACACAGACCAACACAGACCAAGACAGACTAAGACAGACCAACACAAACCAGCACAGACCAACACAGACCAATACAGACCAAAACAGACAAGAGACAGACCAACACAGACCAAGACAGACCAACATAGACCAACACAGACCAAGACAGACTAAGACAGACCAACACAGACCAACACAGACTAAGACAGACTAAGACAGACCAACACAGACCAACACAGACCAACACAGACCTACACAGACCTACACAGACCTACACCAGACAAGACAGACTAAGACAGACTAAGACAGACAAGACTAAGACAGACAACACAGACTAAGACAGACTAAGACAGACCAACACAGACCAACACAGACCAACACAGACCAACACAGACCAAGACAGACTAAGACAGACTAAGACAGACCAACACAGACTGATACAGACCAACACAGACCTACACAGACCTACACAGACCTACACAGACCGATACAGACCTACACAGACCTACACAGACCAACACAGACCAACACAGACCAGCACAGAACAACACAGACCAGCACAGACCAACACAGACCAGCACAGACCAGCACAGACCAGCACAGACCAACACAGACCAGCACAGACCGACACAGACCGACACAGACCAACACAGACCGACACAGACCGACACAGACCAACACAGACCAGCACAGACCAACACAGACCAACACAGACCAGCACAGACCAACACAGACCAGCACAGACCAACACAGACCAAGACAGACCAAGACAGGCCGACACAGACCGACACAGAGTCGTCTTTGTAAACCTTTGTCCATAACTGGGGTGTTCTACATGTATCTCTAATGGTGAAATGTTTAGGAGTTTTCTCTACATATTGGGGTTGTGTTTTTTACCTAACAAAAGTGCACAAACCCATTTGTTTTTGTCACGACGGGCATTTAGTTTGGGAAATGTGCAGAGGCTGGTAAATAAACTGCCACCGCCAAACCAGTAAGAGAAAGTGACTGCAGTTAGGAACTTGAAAAATAAGTTTAAACATCCTGCCTTTTCTTCACGTCGAGCAGTTTTGTGTAAAGTAAAGTGCAGTACTTTTTGCTTGGTCTATTTTATCTGTAAATGAACAATAATCAGATAAAACGGGGATTGATTTATAAAAAAAAAACATTGATATAAATGTGCCAAAATACGAATAAAAGTAGAAAATAGATGGTCTTGATTTGGTCTCGATGAGCCGTGGTCAGTGTTGGGGAGTAACAGATTACATGTACCGGAGTAATCAGAGTACTAATTATGAGTAACTGTATTTAGTTGACAGTTACTGTTTCAGTGAGTGGTAATTGGATTACAGTTACTTGTTGAAATAAATGGATTACATGGAGGTATTTTCCTGTTTTCACATTTGGGGCTATATCCCTTTTTTTTTTCTCTCGGTGATTACACTCATTACCGAACAGGTCGAAACCAGGACTAAACCAGGACTAAAGCAGGACTAAACCAGGACTAAAACCAGGACTAAACCAGGACTAAACTAGGTCGAAACCAGGACTAAACCAGGACTAAACTAGGTTGAAACCAGGACTAAACCAGGACTAAAGCAGGACTAAAACCAGGACTAAACAGGACTAAAACCAGGACTAAACCAGGACTAAACTAGGTTGAAACCAGGACTAAACCAGGACTAAAGCAGGACTAAAACCAGGACTAAAGCAGGACTAAAACCAGGACTAAACTAGGTCAAAACCAGGACTAAATCAGGACTAAACCAGGACTAAAGCAGGACTAAAACCAGGACTAAACCAGGTCTAAACCAGGACTAAACCAGGACTAAACTAGGTCGAAACCAGGACTAAACCAGGACTAAAACAGGACTAAACCAGGACCAAACCAGGTCTAAACCAGGACTAAAGCAGGACTAAAACCAGGACTAAACTAGGTCGAAACCAGGACTAAACCAGGACTAAACTAGGTTGAAACCAGGACTAAACCAGGACTAAACCAGATCTAAACCAGGTCTAAACCAGGACTAAACCAGGTCTAAACCAGGACTAAACCAGGACTAAAACCAGGACCAAACCAGGAAAACCAAAAACCAGGACTAAACCAGGACTAAACCAGGACTAAACCAGGTCTAAAACAAAATTTAACAGGACTAAATCATGCTGTGTGGACGTGTCTCTTCTTCTTCTATCAATAATATTTTTAATTTGGTTCAGTAAAGTCTGGACTTTTTATTTTCTTTTATCAGACAAAACTTCTCATGTGAAGATTTCCTCGTCTTTGCTTCTCTACAGCAAATCAAGTAATCCAAAGTAATCAGATTACATTACTCACTTTAAGTAATTTAATGGATTCTGTTACAAACTACATTCTGGGGTGTGTAATCTGTAATCTGTAGGGGAACACTGGCCATGGTCTTGGTCTCAGTCTCAGTCTTGACCCTCAAAGGTCTTGGTCTTGTCTCGGACTCGGGACCCTGTAGACTTGGACAGATTTTGGTCTTGACTATAACACTGGTAAAAATACATATTATTTCCCGTGTGCGCGGCTCCTCCGGGCGGCGTTTTAAAGCGGGCGTCTCTGGTGGGTTTGTGTGTGTGTTTGTTTACACACAGGACCAACCCACCGAGCTGTTTGTTTAGCTCAGTGTAATTACACAGAGAAGCACATGGGCGGATCAATAACAACAATTATATTTTTTTATCGCGCTCCTTGTTTCAGAGCACGAGTTAACGGATCAGATCAACCAGGTCTAAACCAGGTCTGTAACAGGACTAAACCAGGTCTAAACCAAGTCTGTAACAGGACTAAACCAGGTCTAAACCAAGGTCTGTAACAGGACTAAACCAAACCAGGTCAGGACTAAACCAGGTCTAAACTGTAACAGGACTAAAACAGGTCTAAACCAGGTCTAAACCAGGTCTAAACCAGGTCTTAACCGGAACTAAAACAGGACTAAAACAGGTCTAAACCAGGTCTAAAACAGGTCTAAATCAAGTCTAAAACAGGGCTAAATCAGGTCTAAACCAGGACTAAGTCAGGTCTAAAACAGGACTAAACCAGGTCTAAACCAGGACTAAAATAGGACTAAACCAGGTCTAAACCAGGTCTAAATCAGGGCTAACCCAGGTCTAAACCAGGTCTGTAACAGGACTAAACCAGATCTAAACCAGGTCTGTAACAGGACTAAACCAGGTCTAAACCAGGTCTGTAACAGGACTAAACCAGGTCTAAACCAGGTCTGTAACAGGACTAAACCAGGTCTAAACCAGGTCTGTAACAGGACTAAACCAGGTCTAAACCAGGTCTGTAACAGGACTAAACCAGGTCTAAACCAGGTCTGTAACAGGACTAAAACAGGACTAAACCAGGTCTAAACCAGGTCTAAACCAGGTCTTAACCGGAACTAAAACAGGACTAAAACAGGTCTAAACCAGGTCTAAACCAGGACTAAACCAGGTCTAAACCGGGACTAAAACAGGTCTAAATCAAGTCTAAAACAGGGCTAAATCAGGTCTAAACCAGGACTAAGTCAGGTCTAAAACAGGACTAAACCAAGACTAAAATAGGACAAAACCAGGTCTAAACCAGGACTAAAATAGGACTAAACCAGGTCTAAACCAGGTCTAAACCGGGACTAAAACAAGACTAAACCAAGTCTTATCATGTACAGGACATACGAAGGAATCTAAATTGTGTTTCTCTTTATCTCGAGTGCACAGAAAGTAATGGTTGGATCCAATTTGTGACATCATGAGGTGGTTCTGATGCTTTTCTTATCAGTGACCACGAAAATAAATAAGAAAATAATCTTCCGAGTATCACCAGATCTAAACCAGGTCTGTAACAGGACTAAACCAGGTCTAAACCAGGTCTGTAACAGGACTAAAACAGGACTAAAACAGGACTAAACCAGGTCTAAACCAGGTCTAAACCAGGTCTTAACCGGAACTAAAACAGGTCTAAAACAGGGCTAAATCAGGTCTAAACCGGGACTAAAATAGGACTAAACCAGGTCTAAACCGGGACTAAAACAAGACTAAACCAAGTCTTATCATGTACAGGACATACGAAGGAATCTAAATTGTGTTTCTCTTTATCTCGAGTGCACAGAAAGTAATGGTTGGATCCAATTTGTGACATCATGAGGTGGTTCTTATGCTTTTCTTATCAGTGACCACGAAAATAAATAAGAAAATAATCTTCCGAGTATCACCAGATCTAAACCAGGTCTGTAACAGG